AGTTGAGAGTCCACCCAGGAACCAAGAGGTCACCAGGTTGATTCCTGGTCAGGGCACATGCCCAGGTTGCGGACTCGATCCCCAGTGGTAGGAGAGCAAGAGGCAACAGATTAATGATGTTTCTCTCTCATAGATGTTTCTCTCTCTCTCTCCCTCTCCCTTCCTCTCTCTCTAAAAATCAATAAAACATATTTTAAAAAGAAAAGAAATAGTGGCTAAAAGTTTTCTAAACTCATGAAAACTATAAGCCCTCAGATACAAGAAGCTCAGAAATCACAAACACAAGGAAAAAAGAAAAACTACATCAGGATCAAACTGCTCAAAACAAATGATAAAAAGCAAGTCCTAAAAGCTGCCAAAGGAAATCAAAATGTGCAAAGCAACAAAGATAAGTATTAGAGCAGATTTGTCCCTCTTGTAACTCTAGAGCAGGGGTGGGGAATGTCCACAGCCTGCGAAATCATTTGGTCTGGCCCTTCCAAGACAACTAACTGCAGGCAGGACTCGAAATTCAATAAAGTCAATTCAATGTTTGACCAAATATAGTAGGCTAATTTTTAAGTTGATAATTCTGTATGGCCCTTGAATGATGTTATAAATATCCAAATAGCTCTTGGCAGAAAAAAGCTTGCACTAGAGCAAGCAGAGGGGGGAGAGGGGCATAGAGCAAAAATAGAATTCTATACCCACAAAAGTACATTTTTTAAATGAAGGTGAAATAAAAACTTTGTCAGACATACAAAAGCTAAAAGTGTTATCCACAGACTTAAAAGAAATGTTAAAGTTGTTTGTGCAAAAGTAAATGATACTAAATGAAGTAAAGAATGCTAGAAAAGATAAATATATGAGATGTTTTGCTGTAATTTTAAAGATAATTGATGATTTAAACAACAATAAAAACATTAACGATACAGTGTGGCATTTATAACACATGTAAGAGTAAAAATATCTCAATAGCACAAAGACTGAAAGACTTTACTATTGTAAGGGTCCCATATTATACACAAAGTGGTATAATATCACTGTAATGTGTACTATGATAAATTAAAAATAAAATAAAACAAAAAGCTACAGCTAATAAGACAACAAAGAAGATAAAAAGGAATCTTAAGAAAATTTTCCAATTAATCCAAAAGGAGGCAGAAGAAAGGACAAGGAGAGAATGAAGAACAGATGAAACAAGGAGAAAACACACTGTAAGATAACAGATTTAAACCTAACATCACCAAAGATCACATTAAATATAGTCTAACTATGCCAACTAAAGGTAGATTATCAAGATTTAAAAAAGCAAGACCTAACTATATGCTGCTTATAAGAAATGCACTTCAAAAAATAAAGACTGAAACATGTAAAAGTAAAAAAATGAGGAAAATATATACCATGTAAACACAAAAGTAAAGCTGGAGTGGCTATATCAATATCAGGTAGAACAGAACACAGCAAAGAATAATAGTAGGGATAAGAAAGGTGACTTCCTAATGATAAAAGAGTCAAGTCATCAAGACGACATAACAATCTTGACTGCTTATACACCTGACAACAGAGTCTCAGAATACATGAAGCAAAAAACTGAGAGAACTGCAAGAAGAAACAGAGAAATCCAGAGAAAAACAGTTACAATGGGAGGTTTCAATTGCCCTATCTCAATAACTGATAAAACAAGTAGACCGAAAATCAGTAAAAACATTAAAAATTTGAATAACAAAATTAACCAACTGGACCAAGCTGACAATATAGGTAAAACTCTTTATTCACAGACAACGTGATCCTGCAGGAGTTCTTCTGGGAAGTCACTTATTTTTTATAAAGATGATCGGATGGCAAATTCTTCCAACAATTATAGGCATTTATTTATGGCAAAACCCTTGTTCAGATACAAGCTATATGGATTCAAAAAATTGTTTGAAAGCTAAATCATGTGTTTGACCAACTAAGATGTTCAGAACTCAATTTACAATTGAAAAGCAAAACCTGTATATTTTGCATTCAAGCACTTGTTATTCTAAAACTCAATGCTGTTATCAAGAAACAATATAAATTATTAACTTCAGCTCAATAAGCTACAATTATTATGGTTGTTCTCCATGCACATGTTGTAAATAATAATCAATAGACTAATGTTTATATTACAAAAAATTAATTTAAATGATGTTTCATTCATATTGCAAATGAGTTTTTATTTTAGACTGAACATAAACTAAGGTCCCATTGGATATAAATTCTAACAATTCAAAATTTAAAGTATTTTATGTAATCTATCCAGCAGGGGTCAGGAGTTTGGAATTTCAGCTTTGACAGTCTTCCTGCTGATCTGCTGCTACTGCTGAACCTCCAGTTGGAGTAACTGAGGCCTTAACTCAGAACCCATTCTCAATCAAATCCAGAACTTAACCCTTACTATAAGAAATATTTCCAGGCCCTGTCTCTCTCAAAGCCTTGTCTTCAGCTGGATGCTATGTCAGTCTGCAGTTTTAAATAGCTTTTCTAAGACCTCCTTCTATCTAAGGTAATTTCTGGACACCAGAGCCATAGCTTGGGCATCCGCTGTGAGCACCCTAGCAGTGCCTAGGACTCATTCCAGAGTGCCCTTGTCTGACCTATCCAGACGAACGGAGGTTCTGACATAAAACCTGCAAATACTGGGAAATTTACCATCACATTATCTTTACAGTGACTAAATAACTGCACAAAAGAACTAATTCCATGTTAAACATAGAAGCAGTCTGAAAACAGAAACAAGATTTTCAGAAATATAATTTTATACTTTTTCATGTAAACATGAGTATAAAGTAAGTTTCCATTGGTTTTATTATAGAAATTGACATATGCCTCATGCATAAAACACAATTACATAAGAACTTATTTTTTAAATGTATATTCTATAGTTTATAAGTTGATTTAATGGGAGTAATCATATTCTTGAAAATAGGAAAAGATTAATATCTTTAGAAAGAGAAATGTAAATAAGTTTGCATATTTTAATACAGGAAATTCAATCAAATAATACACCACTTAATACCAATTAAAACTCTACAGTCTTGAGATTTTCTGCTTGCCTTCCTAATATTAATACATTTAACAGTGTTTTACCTAGATTCAAAGTAAAAAAGAACAATTATTATCTGTGAATAATCTTTGATAATATAAGCATCAAGTACAAGAACATTTAAAACTTTATGACATCAAATTAGATTTCAATTTTTAAACAAAAATAAAACAATATCATTAAAAACAGGTATCAAGACTTAGAAGAAATTATGTATTTCTTTTCCTAGCTAATTATTCTCTAACCAATACAGACCTAGTGAGCAATACTTAGCATAGTTGGATTATAATACAGTTAAGTCATCACTTGCTCTCGGTGAACTAAAATACAATTATTTATAATATAGGGCACTAATTTGAGAATGCTAGCCAGTCATTAAGGAATGAACTTTATAAAATTAACTATTTTGACAGATTGAGTAGTAATGCTAAAGGTACAAAACTATTTCTGAACTACTCTTGATGGTTTAGCAAAATATCCCTCATATAAAAGCTAACTTTTGAAAGATGATTAGACTTGGAATTCCCAAGTTAGAATATCAACTAGAAATGAGTAAACTCCTTGAATGCTTAGAAAATACTGTTTCAATTGCAATAACTTAAAGATAGAAAGTGTTCAGTAAGTACTTCTTGATTATCTAAAGCACTCTTAAAAATAACAAAGGAGAAGTAATTAGGTTTGAAAATGAAGTTTGAAAATCTACAAAATAATCACACAATATTGGAATTTAAACCAAGACTATCTGACTCCAAAGTCTATGCCATTTTTTCTTTTCTTCACTTAAATAACAGGTAATTAAATTACAAAAGCACTTTAAAAGAGATGTTTACATTAGTCAAGAGATCATTATCTCAAAATATTGGCTGAGGTACACGAAAAATAAATAAGATAAGGAAAAATAAGGACACTGTGAGCATGGATTCATCTCTAAAAAAGCAACAGAAACACTGCGAGAAGCAGAAACATGACATAAATGTGGGAGGAGTGAAGGAAACAAAAAGTAGATGGTGGAGGAAAGATGGGGAGGAAGGAAAGGGAGGGAGAGAAGGAAAGAAAAAGAGGAACAGAGAAGGAACAAGGGAAAGTGGCAGGAAGGAGCAAGGTGGGTGGAGAGAGAGAAAGGGAGAGGTAAGGAAAGGAGGGAGGGAGTGAGAACTCCATCTAAATCAGTATCTCTTCTAGTCTATTGAGAATAATAACAAAAACTGTGTTTTCAATGTGCAAGTATATCCAAAATACATACCTATAAAAACAGCAAGATAATATACACGTGAAAGACAAAGAAAAACCCATTATTAAAAGAGAAAGGTAAATTTAAGAAGCAAAAGAAAATAGAGTTTCTAATAAGGCTTATATTTAGCCAGAAAGAAATGTTTAAAACTCCAACTTTCATAATTTAAAAAAATTGAAATATGAAAACTATTTAGCTACAATTCAAAACTATAAGCATAAATCTCTGTTTAAAACATTGGTTTCTCTTTCCATTTACTTCCATACCATCTAATAAAAATTTTAGGACACTACAGACACATAAAATTAAACTACAAATGCAAAATAATGCTATAAAATGATCTTGTGATTTTAATGGCTTTTTAAGTACCATAGGTTAGAAGGGGATTAAAAAGGCTTCTAAACAAATACAATTGTATTTTTCTTATTTGGTACTCACTAGTTAACTAAATCTGATGCTAGAGAGAAATTTAAACACTCCTTGAATTCTATTACATAAGTGCTACGTAATTCCATTTAGCATTTAGTATGCACTATTGAAGAATATTGTGCATCATTTTTTTAAAAAAGGATGAATTATTAGATAATTTCACAATCTATTTTGGTTTATTTTTTTTTAATGTGAATTGGTCTAACTGGAATCATTCCACTATTTATAAAGATAACAGATGATAAGAATAAAAATCACTAAAATAAACATTTTTTCATAATTTTGTCATACCTTTAGCTAAAGCTTCTTTATATTTCTCTTTGGCAGAATTCATTTCTTTTATTAATTGTCTATAGCTGGATTTTAATTTTTCTAATTCTGTCTTTGTAACCTGTCAAAAAAAGAAATGCAAAAAATTTTTAAACTTAAGTTTACATGATCAAGAACAAATTCTAAAGCATTAACTAATGTGTATCTTACTGCTTATAGGTCAGAGTTGCTCTTTAATATACAATTACAGACAATAAATTAAAAATTACTTTAGCCCTAGCCCTGACAGGGTGACTCAGTTGATTGGAGCATCATTCCTTACACCAAAAAGGTTGCAGGTTCAATTCCCAGTCAGAGCACATACCTAGGTTTTGTGTTCAGTCCCTGCTGGGGGCGCACAGGGAAAGCAACCGATTGATGTTTCTCTCTCTCTCTTTCTCTCACTCATTCCTCTCTCTCTAAAAATCAGTAAAAACATATCCTCAGGTGAGGATTAAATATTATTTTAGAAATCAGTGATAAATTCAACAGCATAAAAAAAAAATTTCTTAAAAAGAAAAGCAAATCCAGAAACAGTGCTGCAGTCATCTAAAATTAAAAGACCAATAAATTAATTTAATATTTTTTCTAATAAAAAGCTAATTTAAATATTTATTGTAATTTTACAGAGTAACTCTGAGTTGCCATAATTCACCAGTTCTGACATGAATTTTTTTTTTTTACATTGTAACATCTCTGAAAAGAAGATGCATCTAACAATCACTGTTGGCCAAGCAACAATCATCAGTGGTCACTACATGCATGCATGAACTTGATTATTCCTACAGAAAGACAAGACAAATGCACGTCCTTGACTCTGTTGGCAAAAAGACATTTAAAAAGCATTTGAGAGAAAAATTAAGAATCTTAGAAAATGAAAAACTTCTGGTACAGCTTCTGAGAAGCCTAAGAAATCAGCAGTATGAGAAACTTGCAAAAGGGGCATGAGCAACTTGGAAGACAGTATCAGAGCCCACTTGCAATAAATACTGCATCACCATCATTCTTAACGGTGTAAAGACACTGTGTAAACGAACAAAAATATCAACAACTATAATACAGATATAAGTGAGTTCAAATCAGCCCCTTCAGAAAAACCTCACTGGTTAACTTTTTTTAGATGAACTTTACTTTTTGGACCAGTTTCACTTTCACAGCAAACTTGAGCATAAAGTAGAGATTTCCCATATTCCTCCCAGCCCCCACATACACATTGCCTCCCCTATTAGCAGCATCTCCCAAAAGAGTATTTGTTGCAGGTCATGAACCTAAAATGACACATCATCATCACCCAAGTCCATAGTTTACATTAGGTTTCACTCATGGTGTTGTACATTCTATGGGTTTGAAGAAACATATACTGACATGTATCTACCATTATAGTATCATAGAGAGTGGACCACTGTCAAAATCCTCTGTGCTACACCTAGCCATCTCCCTCTCCCCTCTAACCCCTTGGCAACCAATGATCTTTTTTTTCAAATCACAGGTTACATTCAATATTATTTTGTATTAGTTTTAGGTGTACAGCATAGTGGTTAGACAATCACATACTTTACAAAGTGAGTTCCCAATATTTCAAGTGCACACTTGTCACCACCACTGATCTTTTTACTGTAATTACAGTTTTTCCTTTCCAAAATATCATACAGTATTACAATCAAGCAGTATTTAGCCCTTTCAGATTGGATTTTTTAACTTAGTAATATAAATTTAAGGTTCCTCCATGTCTTTTTGTGGCTTGGTAACTCATTTCTTTTGAACACTGAATAATATTTCATTGTCTAGATATACTACATTTACCTAATAAAAGACTTCTTGGTTGCTTCTAAGTTTTGGTATTATCAATAAGCCTACTATAAATACCCATGTGTTTGGGCTTTTTACTCAAAGTTTTCAGCTCCTTTGAGTAAATACCAAGGAGTGTGACTGCTGGATCCTACGGCAACAGTATGTTTAGTTATGTCAGAAACTGCTAAGCTGTCTTCCAAAGTGGCCGTGCCCTCTTGCATTCTCACAGCAACAAATGGTGCTCCTGCTGCTCCACATCCTCACCAGCATTTGGTGTCAGTGTTCTAGAGAGTGGTCATTCTCATAAGTGTGAAATGGCATCTCACTGTTGCTTCAATTTGCATTTCCCTGATGACACAGAATTTGTAGCATCTCTTTGTGTGTTTATTTGCCACCTGTATAGTGTCTTTGGTTAGGTGTCTGTTAAGGTTTTGGGCCATTTTTAATCAGGTTGTTTGTTTTCTTAGTGGGCTTTTAAGAGTTCTCTGTAGCAGACTGGTGCAGCCACTATGGAAAACAGTATGGAGTTTCCTCAAAAAATTAAAAATGGAGCTGCCTTTTGACCCAGGGATCCCACTTCTAGGAATATATCCTAAGAATCCTGAAACACTAATCAGAAAGAATATATGCACCCCTATGTTCATAGCAGCACAGTTTACAATAGCTAAGATCTGGAAACAGCCCAAGTACCCATCAGTAGATGAGTGGATAAAAAAGCTGTGGGACATTTACACCATGGAATACTACGCAGCTGTAAAGAAGAAGGTTATTGTACACTTTGGGACAGTATGGATGGAACTGGAGAAAATTATGCTAAGTGAAATAAGCCAGGCAGAGAAAGATAAACATCACATGACCTCACTTATATGTGGAATCTAAAGAACTTAATAAACTGATGAACAGAATAGATTCAATGACATGGAAGCATAGATCAGACTGACGAATGTCAGAGGGAGGGAGGAGGGCAGGTGGGTGGAGGGGGAGAGAGTAACTAAAGAATTTATATGCATACATGCACAACCCAAGGACACGGACAATGGTGGGGAGGGGAACTGGGGAGGGGCGCAGGATGGGGTAGAATGGGTCACTGGGGAGATAAAGGGACATTTGTGTTATATATATATATATTTTTTAAACATATCTTTATTGATTTCAGAGAGAGGAAAGGAAGGGGAGAGAAAGAGATAGAAACATCAATGATGAGAGAGTCATTGATCGGCTGCCT